AAAAAAGTTCAGACCCAAAGCGCTCCATTGAATAAATATTCCGTACAAAATGCCAAACATATGAATTTTTGACACAATGAAACTTGTAAATATTTTTTTTTTGTATTGTGACTTAGTATAGTAAGGCAAAACAACTGCAAATTGAATATTTTTGAGCGCAATCACTTATGGCTCGTCTCCTTTGCACGAATTCGTACGGCGAATCTGTTCGCAAAGTGCGCAAACAAAATTATTGCAAGCAAAAGCAAACCACGCGTACGTTGAGAACACGATTCGCCGTGCGCGTCAGTCGCATGCGCAGACTGTCAGACGCATGTTATATTATTTGCATCTTATATTGTTTTAATTATGGCACATCTCAGCTGCTTTTCGACAATAATAATGTAGACATTACATGTTCTTTATTTTTAATCATGAATTTACTATATTTTAATATTGCCTTCGCCTATAAGTGAATAGAAATGTTTGGCAAATGACAGTTGTCATTTGTTTTTAATGTCACACCATGCCTTAAATATTTTAAAGGTCAAACAATGATAAGCGGTTTTTTGTAATTTTTTCCATTTATTTCTACAATCTAACTATATTTCTATGAATCAAAACATTCTAGAAAATTTCCCGAACAAACTTCAGGATGATTTATGAAAATCCGAATTATGGTTTAGGCGGATTAATGAAACTTACATTGTTTGACATTAAAAACAAATGACAACTGTCGCGGTGTCCAACCAGAGTGTCGTTCGAGCCCTTTAACCCTTTGCCGTTTCAAAATAAGAAATGTTACGGTAAAATTTATGATAGAGAAAGCTGTAGCTCATTTAATCACCTTTAAAATAGTATATTACAAGTAATATAAAATCAGAATTAAAAGAGTTATAATCCAATTAATGCGGAGGGTGGTAACGAAATGCAAATTGTTTTCACTTCTGAACTTTAGATTAAGATTAGCTGGGCATACGCCTTTTTTCCTCTCCATTTACTGCAATAATTTTGTTGATAGTAGGTTGAATAGAGCACATGTGAACAAAATTTGACAAATTAATTCACTTCAAATATGAACTTAAGTAATAATGTATATTGAATTATTAGTGTGAAAAATGCAATTTAGATATTAAAATACTAAAAGCCAGTTGCCAAAGCCAAAGCCAAAGTATAGTACGAAATTATAAAAATTGTAGGCAACATTATTGAAGCAATTATTTTGGGTAGAAAAATCCAAGGTGATATTGTACCTTGACCGCATGCTATATATTAATTCTTTCTGAATTTGTTATACTTTTTAAAAGATTTCAATTTTCAACACGTGTATCTAAGCTATGACAATAAATACATGGTGATAAATTTGGAAAATCAATGTTTTAGCCGTGAATAAACAAAAAATCATTCATTTAAACATCCACATCTACAGGTATGTCTAAAAATATTGTAAACGGTCAGAAACATTTCAAACGCGAAGATATACAAAAATTTTCATTTTCGATTTTTTTGCGATTACTATAACTTGCCCTACGTTAAGTTAATAAACTTGAAGCAAAAAGTGCAAGATCTCACCGATGCACAAAATTTGGTTTTCTCCAATGAGAAGTCATTAACAATTGAGCAGTTTGTGAACAAACAAAATTACTTGCCGAAGGACAAGGTGAAAATTTACACCTTCGATTGAACACCAGAACTCAAGCGCCGCCGTGGGGTGTGTTTTGTTTAGCCTTATTTTAATTAAACTTATTGATCGGTCAAGAGTTACCACGTGTTTTTATGGCCAAACGTTATCGTGCATCGGTATTGTTACAGCATATATCATCAACAAAATACCAAAAAAGAAATAGAAGACCATCAGATTGTGGCGACGAATTGGAAGAAGAGTGAAACGAACATGATATTACAACAAAAATATAGAATTATTTAAATATTACTGATGCAACTATTGAACTTGATGATACGGCGACTATTAGAAAAGAAACAACCTTAATCTTTGATAGTGTTTTTTTAATTAGTCGTTGCGCAGACAAATTTGTATCATTCTCAAATTGGCTACCTAATTTTTGTGCAAAAACAGTAATTAAATAAACTTAAATGTTTAGTAAAACTACCGTCAAAAGTTTTCTCGCTAGTTGATTGAAATGGACTTAAATATCAATCTTTCTTCATGTCTTGTTGCAAACCATAGTATTTCTTTATGTATGGTAAACATACTGGTATCTTTATGTACAAGCCAGTTTTAACAAACAGATTTTTTTTAACATACAGAGGCAGATTTTCAAGATTTTATTTTGAAATTATTGAATTATAGTCCTTAATTTAATTAGTAAAAAATCCTTTTTTCCGCTCATCAATATTATTAAATATCACATATAGACTAAAAATTATTAATTTCTATTATCATTATGAAAAAATTGCTCATACCGGTATAAAACATGGAGATTTGTGCATACTATCAGGCCGGATGGTAGCCGAGTTTTTTTTAACTCTGCTGATGTTGGTACGCCGTAATTAATTGTAGGTACACGTCTGCCGTAATAAATATAAGCTTTTGATACTATAAGGAATAAAATATGTAAATGGCAGACATCATCAAATACATTCAAAAAAAAAAAATCTGCAATTTCAAAATCGTCTGCCACCATGTTAACCGCACGATAATCGTCTGCCATTGGTATTTTCCGATAGTAATAATATTATATTTTCAAATTTTCGAAACGGCAGCCGTCGTAAAATGGTCGAAAAAAGGGTACCTTTACCAGCTGCGCAGTAGCTGTGTCCGCCACTTTGGGCTTAGTCAGTCCCCATTTCACGTAGGATAGGTATAGAGGAATCGATGCACAAAATCTCAGGTGTCGTAAAATACATACCGTCATCCGCCCACGGGTTCTTGGACTATTATGTTGACGCTAGTTTTAATAGCGCAGCTTCAGAACTGAAAGCAGTGTGTCCATGTAGATTTTATAATGGTTTTGTATACTGATAGTTTCTTATAACTTGAAATTGTTTTCGAGTTGATTTCTCTTTTCCCCGATGTGAATTTTCTAATTCAATTTTTTTTCCTTTAGAATGTACTGTCCATAGATCAATATGGAAATGCGGTTACCTCTTCTAAGCAAAAATGTTGTATGACTCGATTTTTGACAGTTCATTTCAAGTCTCCACAAAGTAAACCATCCCACTATACTGTTTATATGCTTCAGGAGCAGTCTGGGCACAACAGTTGAGTCTATATTATGTGCTATTATGCATCTGTCGGAAGACGTTAAGTGTGTCTTACTTGAAATGGGCATACATGAAGTGTAAACAAGGAAAAGGATTGGACTAAGACGGTTCCCAAACGAACTCCGAATGACATAGATTTAGCTAAAAAAATTAAATTATGTAATTTAAAAAAAAACTTGCGGTTAGTTAGATAGGTTGATAATACTTTGTATAGAACTTCTGCCGAAATTAATAAAGATAGATACAAAAATACCGCTGAACAATACTATTTTGGGGGGGGGGGGGTAGTTTATTTATTTCGTTGACAATGCAGTGAAATTGGTATAAAGTGGAGCGCAGTTTCAGTAAAACTGGCATTTCGGAATAACTTGTTTTATAGTAATTATTTTGTTTACAAGAAGTTTCTCAAATGTTTTTGATATTAAGGTAATAGACCTATAGGCCTGTATGATTTTATCTTCTCAGGATCTTTACAAGGTTTAGAAATGAGTATTATTTTAGCTAGTTACCATGCTTGAGGATAAATTTTCAGTCTTAATCAAGAATTGAAAATAATTGTCGAAAGTCTTATACACTTTTCAGGCAATTTCTTTCTCATTTGGTTACTAATTTTATCAGATGCCAGAGACTTGCCTTTTTGCATGTTTTAACTCTCGTTTCACTTCAGAAACAGAAAAACGTATTGGTCATTTATTTGTTTGAACTGCATTTTGCTCTACATAATCGTATATACATTATTCTCTGAAAAATTGTTCTCACAATTTTTCTGAAAAGAATTAAAATTGTGGTACAAGTGCTTTTTATTCGCGACTCACGACTGACTTAACTATGATACGGATAAATTCAGTAATTTGTAGTAAGTTAAGGCACGATGCTATGCAACATTAGTTAGGTTTTTATTTCTTCAACGTTTAACATAGTTTTCAATAACACGTTATGTTAACACTTTGCCGACCGATCAGAGAGATCTCCCCACTTCGAACTATAGTCGGTGCCTGACCGATTGGGGAGATCTCCCACTTTGACTGGAGCAAGGCGTTGTTCGTTTTCTGTTATTACTGACTACCTCAATCTTGTTTATTATAATTACTTGGTCTTGGTTGTCTATAATTACTAACAAACTGTTTTTAGAAAGCACATATAATAAAATCCACTTAGAGGATCCATTAGTCATCTTTATATATTGGCATCAAGGGAAGAAAATCAATTGCTGGAGTTTTTCGCTAATAAGGACCAAGACTTTTATGAGAGAGGCATAATGAAGCTACCATTAAAATGGCAACAAATTATAGAACAAAATGGTGCATATTTGACCTAAATCGGACAATGCAAAACATGTTAAATAAAGTCTTGAAGTTCACGTAAAAATAATGGATTTCTTTTTCCTTAACCTTATATAATAGTCTTCATTTCCCTTTTTTTTACTTAAACTTTTTTAACATCTTACAAAATGATTTTTATAAACTCTTAATTTCATGTTTTGGTTAAACAACATGTGAAATCGTTAAACAAAATTGGTATCGTAAGCTATACTTGATCACAAAAATAAATTTCGGTCTTTTTGATTTTTAATAGTGAATATTTCAGTACGCGTGACTTCAAAAAAATGCGCGGTGGAAACTGCACAGTTCGCTGCGCTGTGTGCGATCAGCAAAGTGTTAATTTAGATATGCCTATATTTATTACAAAATCATAAGGAATGGTAGTTCCAAAATGTTTAAAAGTTTGATTTTATAGTTTTCAAATTATATTATCACGAAAGTGACTGATAGTGGCTTTGCTTATTTAAAACTTACAGTGTAATCAAAGATGTCAATATTAGTACCGCTGGTACCACAATAAACCTTATGACCTTGTAGAGACAAGCAATAGATAGCCGATGAAATTCCGAAAGCACCGGATGGATACATCTCACGTAACCTGTAAATGATAAAACTAAATTAATAATGTATTTATGTACATAAAGCAATTGAATAATTTTACTTTTTAAATCTACTATAAAATTGGCAACACAGCACAAATAAATTTTTATTTTATCCACACATTACTCAAGATAGTAAGTAAGTGTATATGGTATCAATATAAATCTAGTAAGATGTTATGTAACGTGTATCTTATTTATGTATCGCATTTTTCATCTATTAAGTATGTTACCAAAAAACTTATTTACTACCCATTGCTACTAGATAATCTGGAAACATATTTGCAGATATCTCAAAATAAGTTTGCAAACTAGTGGTGCATGATATTATGATTTAAGGGGTTATATACAGTTAGGATTTTGTAAGATTGATTTTTTTATTTTATTTTCTAAATGTAGGATGCGGTGGACAGACGTGAGCCACAGGTTGGAAAGGGCCACCCGAATAACTAGAAGACTAGTGACATGTACGTCGAACCGCGCACATATCTATCATATTTTGATACTTGCTCAATTTTAAAAAGCATTTGGAAGTTATAAAGCTACTCTCGCACTGTACAGAGAAACGCTCTAAGAATTTCGCCGAAAAAGTTTTTACCGTCATATGCTCTTACGTGATTTGTCATCGAAAATTTACAAGAAAAATTCAAGTAAATATGCAATATATTATATAGACATATAATCTTTGAAATGCAAGATTTTTTTACATTGTTTACGCCGATTGTTTACATTGTGTTTTCGTGGGATGCATATGCCAAAAAAGTCGTTTGTAGATAGAAATGGACCACTATTTGTGGTCAGACATGGTCCACTTGAGTAAAGCCGTTTTTGCACAGCAAAGTGTTTTTATCAATTATTCAAACGTCCTATTTGCTTATTTTTATCAGTTAAGTCATCATGGCTCTTAAAAAACAGGTAACTCTCCAAAAAGTGGTGAATTATAATATATATAGGCTATGAAGAAAGTGAAAATAGATAAAATATCGGAGCGTGTTGCTTCTGCTATTATCAACGTCAGCAGATCGTCTTTTCAACGCATCATTACATCTCATAAAAACAGAGGTCGCGGCAGAAACAGCACAGAGTCAAAAATCGCAAATACCAGCAAAAGTTTCCAAGAAGGGAATACTTCACAATCAGCTGTGAAAAAGGGCAAAAAAGAAAGTTTTCGATTTCTTCAAATGAGACATCGATTTTTGCATGATGTACAATAAATTGATGCCGGCAAAGCTGACAAGAAAAAACTCCATCGAGTGCGATAACTACGACAGACCATTCTATTTGAAGTGCGTCGATATGACCAACTACAATGACTTGACGGGCACCAATTGCGTCTAAAATGTTTGCTTGAGTGTTGCAAAATGTTTTTTTCAACAATTTGATCATTCCAACTTTATTACTCCTTCTTTTCAGACATTAAAATACCATTATTACTAAAGTCACTGTTTTTTTCATTTTCTACCCTTTATTTCGTGTCAAAGATTATGAATTTTTTAAATTTGATAACAGATTCGTAATCAGCGCATACGAAAACGCTCAGAGCAAGAATTTGTAATATATAGCAGCATTTTTTCAGATAATAATATGGGTAGACTACTTCTCCCTACATTTTCGGAAAACACGATAATTACATTTTTTTGCCATTCAAAAAGAGAAATACTTCCAAACGTGATTGCAAGCATCTGCTATTATAAAAAGTTGCATTTTGGAATACACTTGCAACTAAAAAAAACTAAAAAAACATTTTCATTTTTAACCATTTTACGACCAAAAAGAAAAACGTGGCTCACTTCTGCCCACCGCACCCTACATATATTTAAGAATACACACAAAAAAATTCGTATCATTCTGGTGAATATCATTCGTTCGCCAACCGCCGTAGAGGTCGGATCGTAAAACCAAACAGTGCATTCAGTGACCAACCAATAAACACCTTTCGTTTACCGCAACATAGTGTAGTGTTATCTGCATTGTTTACGTCATAACAACTCGAACGCATGTCCCGTAACGGGACATGCCAGTTTGATCAAGAACGCTATTCATATACTACATTAAAGTGTGTACTGTGTTGTGAGTTATTATCATGTGTAATTCATTTTTGATTTTAAAATCAAATAGTGTTTATAATCATGTCCCAATCTCCAGGGACATCAACAAACTTTGATATTGTTGAATCGATAAACATACTACAAGACGATTCTACTACGAGTGCGGCTTTCGTAGAACAACAAATCGTAAACAATCAACAATACAATAATGGCTCAAATGCTGTTGACATCGTTATGAACGAAGGATATCATGTCAATAATATTACTGAAATTCAATGTACACAACAATCAGTTTCAACGAGAAATGTGTGTATCGGTAATGCGAACGGTCAAACCAGCACGCCTGTCAATTCAACAAACATCACACCGGCAACAATAGACCAGGGGTGGAACACCATAAATAGAAGAAGACCGCATAGCGACCTTGCTGCAAGTTCTAATAACTCTAAAAAAGTAACACACTAAAACTACTGGCTAAATCCTGTACCGACGCAAAATTATGTTCTCCAAACGACACCATCTCAATCAACATCAACAGAAAAGCCGCCAGCCGAAAAGCCGCCAACTGCTCCGCCTATATTCGTGCACGGAGTAACTGACGTAAAGCCATTAATACGACACCTTGACTTACACGTACCTAACTTATACAAATCAAAAATTTGTGAAACTAATCAAGTGAAAATCAACACACAAGACGCGCAAAACCCAAGTAATTACAACATAGTCGTTGCATTATTAAGGGCCAAGGGTACGCAACTCCATTCATACCAACCAAAACAAGACTAATCTTTTAAAATCGTAATTAAAAATCTGCATTATAGTACTGATGTAGAAATGTTGAAAGAAGAAATCAACAATCTTGGACACAACGTGCTACGAATTTATAATCTGAAACAATATTCAACTAAACGACCATTAAACATGTTTGTCGTAGAGCTGGCACAAAACAAAAATAATACAGATATTTACAGAGTTGAATATATGTATAGAACAAAGTAGTTATTGAAGCGAAACGGCACAATCGTCAAATCCCACAATGTATAAACTGCCAAAATCTAGAACATACACGTAATTATTGCTCACGTGACCCACGATGCGTGAAATGTGCAGGAGAATACCACACTAAGAACTGTTCCTGGACTGAAAAAATAAACGAAAACGTCACTTGTGTCTTATGCTCAGGCAATCATCCTGCAAATTATAGGGAATGTGTCAAATATAAAGAGGAAAAACTACGAAGATTTCCACCTTTAAGGAAAAAAACTGTAGCTCAGAACTCACAGGTCATCAATCACTCACTAGTACAGAACAACATAACATTCTCACAAATGACTCAAAATAATAAACAAACACACACGGAGCACACAATTGGACAACGCCCAAGCGCACAAGAAAACAGCCTCAACCCAATCAACAATGACCAAGTTCAAAATCAAAATAATAATCAAGCCAACGACGTGCAAGAATTGAAAGGTATGTTGAAAACACTAATGGACCAAATGGGCACCATGCTCAATTTAATCACCTGTTTCTTAAGTAAAAAATAATGGCCACTTCACTTAATAAATGCACGTGGAACCCTAACGGCCTGGCCCAACATGCACAGGAACTTAAGCAATTCATTTTATACAATCAAATAGACATCGTATTAATTTCAGAGTCGCACTTTGCCAGTAGAAGTTATTTTAATCTTTACAATTACACTACTTATTCATGTAGGCATCCGAACGGCAGAGGTCACGGGGGTACGGCTATCATAGTTAAAAACAAAATCAAACTCTACGAATTAGAACCGTACGAAAAAGATTATTGGCAAGCAACAAGTATATGTGTACAACTGCCAGTGGGAAACATATGTGATTCAGCAATTTACTGTCCACCAAGGCATTCCATTAAGAAAGTACAGTTCTCACATTTTTTCTCCACTCTATGTAATAAATTCATTGTCGGAGGTGACTTCAATGCAAATCACACCTACTGGGGCTCAAGATTAATAACACCAAGAGGACGAGAACTACTTAAATCTATGCACTCGCACAATTACAGATATATTTCTACAGGCGAACCGACATACTGGCCAAGTGTCATCAATAAAATCCCGGATCTTTTAGACTTTTTATACTAAATAATATACCAAATCAATCAGCTAATATAAATTCATCACTTGACTTAAATTCTGACCATTCTCCGATAATTCTAAACATTTTCAACGCGCTGACTGCTTCTACTGAATATTTAACCAATAATCATACAGACTGGGATTTATTCCGCTACGTAATTTCTGACAAAATTAACTGCAATATACCGCTTAAAACCGATATAAATAATGCAATTTCAAATCTAAATACACAAATTCGCAATGCGGCACTTCTATCGACCACACAAACTGTTAAGCATCAACTTCAAGATATACCAAACTATATAAAGAAACAAACTGCAGTCAAGAGAAAATTACGTAAAATTTGGCAAAATACTCGTTCGCCTGTAAAACCTTGATTTATGAACATAAAAATGAAACAGTAAAAAATTATTTAAATAATCTAACACACACCGAAGACTCTAACTATTCCTTATGGAAAGCCACTAAAAAATTGAAACAGCCGACAATGACTATGCTACCACTAAGAAAAAAAGACGGAACCTGGGCTAGGCAGCACCAAGAAAAATGTGCCATTTTTGCTGAACATCTATTTGAAACCTTTCAGCCAGCCCCTCAGAAATGCGTAGATTACGAACAAAATTTTATTTTCGATTTTCTCAATACTTTTCTACATCTAACGAGCAGATTAAAAAAATTACTGTTTCAGAATTTGCACAAAAAATAAGGCGTACAAAATCTGGAAAAGCTCCGGGACCTGATCTCACCACAATCAAAATGATTAAGGACTTACCTGATAAATTGCTACGATTTCTGACCATTGTTTTTAACGCCATAATTAGAACTCAATCATTCCCTTCAATCTGGAAAATTTCCAAAATTATTATGATTCACAAGCCAGGTAAAGACATTCATCATATAGATTCATATAGGCCAATTAGCTTGCTGCCTGTCATATCCAAAATATTTGAAAACTGCTTCTAAAACGCATTAAATTTACACTTCAAAGCAACCATATAATTCCAAATCACCAATTAGGATTTAGAGAGCAGCACTCAACCATACAACCGGTACACCGCGTAGTTAATGAGATCAACTCTGCTCTGCATACCAAAAAATATTGCTCCGCGGTATTTTTCGATATCGCACAAGCTTGCGACAAAGTGTGGCACTGGGGTTTATTATATAAAATCAAAAAGAATCTTCCATATGCTTTATTCTATATACTGAAATCATACTTGGCTCACAGAACATATTTTGTACAGATACAGGACGCCCAGTCTGCAATCAAACCAATTAATGCAGGAGTCCCCCAAGAAAGTGTGTTAGGCCCAACGCTATTTTTATTATACACCGCAGATTTTCCTTGCCACCACAACACAAACCTTGCATGAAAGCCCAGCAACAGCGACTGCGATGCTACAATCACACATTAATATAATAGAAAAGTGGTTTACACAACGGAGGTTTGTAGTCAACAGTAACAAATCTGTTCAAGTTACTTTTACACTGCGAAGGAGTACATGTCCACCGGTTTCCATATACGGTAACGAAATTCCAAAACAAAACTTTGCTAAATACCTGGGTATGTATTTGGACAATAAACTTAACTGGAAAACTCACATCCTCAAAAAGTGAGAACAGTTGGAACACCTCCGTAGAACTCTCTACTGGCTGCTACGGAGACGATCTGAACTCTCCACTTCAAACAAAATTCTCATCTACAAGGTTATCTTTAAGCAAGTTTGGACATATGGCCCCCAACTATAGAGTACAGATAAAAGAAGCAACATCCAAATCATTCAAAGATTTCAAAATAAAATCCTCTCTGCACCGAAATACATGCCTACATGGCTAATTCACCAAGACGCTAACGTCAACACAGTAAATGAAGAGATAAACAAAATAGCACAAAACTATAAAACAAAAATAAGCAGTCACCCCAACGTCTTAGCAAACGAACAGTACAATACAACATATAATCACAGATTAAAAAGACAATCATTACTCGAATTAACAGAATAAGTAAAGTTAGTTTATGTAGGAATTATTTATATGTATATGTATTTATAGTCATAGATTATTTATGCATGTTTAGACTTACAATAGGTTTTAGCATCTATATTTATAAATATTTTGCCATAATTGTTACATATCATAACTAAAAGGTTTACTACTGGGTATCCATTTAAGCATCCATTTTTACTACCTACAATCTAATTACTGAATGTCTCTTGGAGACAGATTGTAATTTATATGGAAATAAAAAAAAATCTGGTGAATATTTTCGAAGTTGCACGCAAATTTGAAAAAAAAAAACACGGCTGAGGCGGAAACAACAGGAAAGCTTAGTTACATGTGATTCGACTGTTTAGTATTGCATTCTAAATTTTATAACAATGTTAAAAACAATTTCTTAATATGTGAAATGTGAAAATTTTTCCGACTGGTTCGAAAACTGTGAAAAACGCTGCATACCTAACCACATGCATACTTAATGAAGGAAAAGTATCACTATTGAATTATATGGAGGCAATATAAATTACAATTCGGGCTCAGTACGCATTCATATGCAGAAAACAAAAATTAGCAGCGCGAGATAATTTCAGATAGTAGCGCGCGAGATAGCATCCGAGATGAAAAACAACACCAGCTCGAGACAGCACCAGCTCGAGTTATTAGAAGTTTTCGGATCGGTGAATAGATAACTCCATGTTGAAATAGGAAATAGATAGCTCCATGTTGAAATAGTTGAAAATAGATAACTCCAAGTTATCCGGGCCAAATGGTGTAGAAGTGGTTTGCAGTGGATCCTGAACACTCTGGAAGGTCAATTGAGGTGGTTTCACCGAAAAATATCAAAAAAGTCCACCGAAATGTTTTGGAAAACCGAATAATAAAATTGCTTGAGATAACTGACATTCTAAAGTAATCAATAGAACATGTTCGATATATCGTTAGAGAATATTTGAATAGGAAAAAGCTCTGTGCTAAATGCATAATGAGTTGATGATTCGTAAGAATATTTATATCTGATTATTCGAAATAAAACTGAGTTTTTGCATCAGTTGCAGCATGGATATGACGTGGCTTCATCACTACACTCCGAAGTCGAATAAACAGTCATCCATAAGTACTAGGCACGATGAGGAGAAAAAATGAAAACAATCTGCAGGCAAGGTTATGGCGTCAGTTTTTTTGTAATTTGCAAGGAATGATATTTATCAACTATCTTAAGAAAGACTAGACTACCATTAGAAGATCGTAATCAAAAAAATGGCTCCATTTGAAGAAGAAAAACAGTGCTGCTCCATCAGGGCAGCGCTCCAAGCCACAAATCCGTGAAAACAGTGGCAAACAAATATGAATACGGTTCCAAATTTGTTCCCCACTCACTATATTCTCTAAATCTGTTCCCCATCTGTTCTCAGATCACAAAAGAATGCTCGCTATTAAGAAATTTCTGCCAAATGATGAGATGATAGAATTTTTTGGCAAAGTACAAATCGTACTACAAAAATGGTTTCGAAAAGTTTGTCGGCATGTTAGAAGAATATTACTCTATAAAAATACAGATAATTATTTTGTTAAACAACAGCAAACCACTAATCACATCACTAGTACTTTTAATTGTATCCCGATATGAGTATACACTAAGCGGTATCAAAACAATGTCATCGCCAGTTATGAAAACACTCAACAATCCAACTACAAGCCCCGAATTCAAGTAAAGCCAATTAAGGAGTAATATTCAATCTACAATAATGTCAATGCAAACCAATTTCAATAATAATAAATAAACCGAGCTATCGACGGAAGAAGACAACATTCTTTTGCAAATAGCTTCATGATCTAAAAAAAATAAATCTATAATAAAATTAAAAAAATAGATTTAGCGTATTGGAAAACACTTCAAACCTCCACCGATTTTTGTCTCAAATGTATTAAATGCAAATCAATATTACTTTAAATGCATGCAAGATAACTCAATTAAAACTGAGTGCGCAAATTCCGATTCATATAGACTTCTAGCGAAATTACGAACTACTTTGAAGGCCGAGTTCCAACTTAAGGAAGAGAGATCCTTTCGAGTAGTAGGCAGATATATCCACCATTCAACACCAGCAGTTCTGATTTAACATCGAAGATATTAAATCAGAACTGCTTCAATCGGGACACATAGTGAAAACATAGTTAAAGTAACATATTAAAAGTAAATATGATAATAAACCACTAAACTTGTTCTTCTAGTATTTGGAACCTACTGAAAACAACAAGTATGTATATAACTAAAATAAAAAAATCTACTATAAAAATCAAACCACCTAGAATTCACAAACGCGTAGTACAATGCGTTCGTTGTCAGCAATATAGATACACCAAGGCATATTGCCATCGTCGCCATCGTTGTTTAAAATGTCATGATTTTCATGAGACAGCCATACCAGAAGGCCAGAAAATAATATGTAACTTTTGATAATGCCAAATTCAAAACAATGAAATAAAAGCCTTCTTTATGGTACACTTTACATTCAGCTCTCCTTTCAAATAAATAAAATAAACACGCTTTCAATTGACCCAATATTCCAAATATAGTTTTATGCTTATGTAATTCAAAAGTGTTTAGTTATCTATTATTGTAAATTAATTTGAAAGTATATCAACCACCTTCAGAATTAAGTTTAAAATCTTAAATAGATAAATTTATCGATTATATTGGTCAAACACAATACTTTTTAAGATAATTTATACATACTTAATAAATACATATATGTGTTTTTTGTCTTTTTGTCCATATAGAAGCTTGATTCGAGATAATTCTAATCAGGTTTTTTTGTGATTCAAACCATTCGAATCAAGAAATTTTCAAATCGACTCAAATCACTAGTTATTAGTCATACATTCAATGCTTTTGTTAACTTCCCGACGGAGAAGATTATGTTTTCGTAAAAAAATCCAATTCGCTAATTTTGTGTAAACACATTTTTTACTTTATATTGACGTTTTCTCAAAACGGCTGGACCAATTTCAAAAAATTAAAAGACATTCGGTAAGGACTAATACGATTCAATAAGAACTTGCGTTTGTCAGTTTTACGTGATGATTGGCCAAGTCGTTTCTTGTGAATAGCAGAAAAGTGAAAAAAATGCTGTTGGTAAAACCTGGAGTTTATCAAAGTGTAATTTCCTATTATTATTTTATTTATCGTACTAACAAATGGCATTTCGTTTGTTTGATCATATCTGTTTTTTAAGATATATAATAATTTATAATAAATTTATTTCAAGTGTTAATATCTCCTAAAATAAAGAATTTCTTACGATAAACCACTATGAGCATCCCGAACAGACAAAGTTTTCTCTTTCGTAGCTACTAATAGTACCTTCCGTGGTCCTTCTCTTGTGCAAGCTATCGATAGAACACTCGAACCTCCAATATTAAATGCATCTACAACCTTTTTTTTCTGAAATTATTGAAAAACCACAATTATTAACTTGAATTAAATTTAACTTTAAAAGATCATAATAGTTCTTAATTAACAAACATAGCATAATATAAGTTTAAATAAAATTAGAAGTTTGTCCAAATAAATACTGTTTTACTGTTCGGAAAATGGGTAACAATAAAAGAATAAATATTAAGAAAAGCTAAAGTACAAAAAATTTAGTTATGCTTGCGGCAATTGTACATCGTCTGTACATACACACACATTTATATATATATATATATATACACATATATATATATATATATATGTATATATACATTTATTAATTACATTGAGTACATGTCAAAATACAATATATATATATATATATATATATATATATATACTAGCAAACCCGACGAACTCCGTTTCGCCACCGGATGGTTTCGTACGAAAGATGAAGAAATTTTTTGTTTGTTTTATATTTGAAAAGAAAAAATTTGATTTTATTATACAACAGTAATGAATTTATTTCGATTACAAAAATGAAGTGTTTTTTAGTTGAACTTCTCTAAGTAAATGAAAGTGAATCCGCAAATTATCCGTTTCATTGAAGTGCTCTTTGGTATACCACGTTTTTTGTTTTTTGGTCTGACGTTAACACAAACAAAGCGGATGGTTTTCCAACTCGTGAACAGGTAACGTATAACTGCCCATGTAAAAAACAATGATTTTCTAAATAATCTATTTGAAATTTATCCCGCAAACACTAAGTGATTGGCCTTGCGACTTGTTATTGCGAACTGGAAATTGCAATCGTTTGAAGTCAAACGGAAGACCAGTCGGAATCATTGGTATGTCACCAAATCGCCAGCAATTTTTGATTGAATGGTGAAATTCAGTGCGTGTACATCATTATTCTTTGCGGCAAGAATTGCTCGTTGACTTAACCAAGCATAATTCTGATAATTCTCACTAATGTCATTACTCGAATTTTTAATTACGGTGCGTAAAGTTCCAGCAATTTGCATTAGGGCACGATGCCATGCACCACTAATTTTCTATGAACCTTGCGGAGCCCGAGATCTTTCCAACGAATGCAAAATTGTCAAAATCGATTCGTGCGTTCTGGAGTTATTTTGTCAGGAAGGAAAACCCGACTTATTTTTATATATATATGGAAGATTAACCGAGCATATTCATATATAGAACCATAATATAAATTTTTTCAACGCAAAAATTTTATATTTTGAAGAGAACGTACTTAAAAGAAGATTCGCTGGAGGGATGTTTTTTTTTTTTTTTTTGTTTTTATTGGCTTTTGATGTACATCATAAGGCGAGATGCGATTCTTACAATTGTTTAATATACATTCTTATTGTGTCATCAACTTATAGATTTATTTTAGTATTATCAATAAAATTAAATATATATTTATAAATTTTTAAATTATTACTAGCTACTAATGATTGTACATTGATTGGGAAAATAACATTTTCTTTAACTAAGTTTAATATTAATGTTCTTTTTTCGTTTTGGAATAAGTTGCATTCCCAAAACAGGTGGTCTATTGTTTCCTCTCCGCTTCCGCAATCGCATGCTGAGTCCGTTATGATTCTAATTCTTTTCAAGTGGTTCTTGCAGAAGGTGTGTTCAAACTCAGTCTACAGATAATCGAGATGAAAATTCTACTTTCTTGCACGTTTTCAAACCAAGTATTTTGCGATACCTCATTCTTTGTTAATGCGTATGTGATACCTTTTATTCTTGTCGTTTCTGCAAAGAATGTTTGCCGTCTTTCTACACACTGTTGTTTGATTACGTTATTTAATTCTAAAGATGGAATTTTGTCACAATCTTCGCCGATATGGCAAGCTTCTTTTGCTAACGCATCTACTTTCTCGTTCCCTTTTATATTGGCGTGTCCTTTAAGCCATACTAAGATCATTGACTTTTCTCCTACAATTTTTTCCTTGAGAATGTTTATAATTTCATATATCAATTTATTTGTATGTTTGCTTGGATTGTTTATTGCGATTAGACTCGATTTGCTATCACTGAAAATGATCGATTTATTTACATTTTTGTCTCTAACATAATATGTTGCTACATGTAATGCCATCACCTCCGCTATAAAAATGGAGGCAAACTTTGGTAGTTTAATTTTTTTCCTATATTTGTGATTAGGTATATATATTACACAACCAGTTCCATCTTCCGTTTTTACTTTGTTTTCAAAGTTTCAAAACGGCTGAATCGATTTGGCCAGTCTTAGTCTTGAAAAATTTGTGCCAATCCAGAGAAAGTCCAAAAGGTGAGAAATTACTTCAAATCCGCGTAGAAACTTTACATTTTTAATTTGAAAATTTTTGTTGAAGCGTAATTTAAATAAAACAATTGACGGTGGCAATTTCGTGAAATGTCAAACGCTTTTGACAGATGATGTTCAATTACGTTTAATAGGATGTTTTACGCGAATATTATTTAATTATGATAAATTTGTAGTAAGTAGTTTTGTTTGTAGTTTTATTTATATACAAAAACGTTAGTAAACGGGCAGCAAGTGTTACTAGAGACTCAAAATATCAATGTTAATATGAAAATGCACTTTTTGGCATATTTTTCTCAAACACGGTGCTCTGAAAAATCTCATTTGTATAATTATATACTCATTGGTATTTATAAAACATTTTCTAGGTTATATTATTTTTTATTTATGTTATTTAAATTGAGAACCTAAATTTGGTATCGATCAAATTGACATTTTGTCGAATAACATTTTTCCAATTATAATTTCCCAGAATTTATCGCAGAATAGATATTAATATATGAAGGTCCGGGATTAAAAAGGTCCACCACCGATGTGCCAAAAATCAGTAAAGTTAAGCATTGTTTAACAACAATATTTGAAAGTAGAGGAAAAAAGATGTATAGCCAGCTACAAACTTGATTTGAAAACGATAATCTTTGAAATGGGGGAGATAAACGGTAATCTTTGAAAATCCATAATAAAAGTATTTTCTTCCGTTGGTCGTTTTAGCATTAGTTAAAAATGTAATTATTTTGTAAAATACCTTTAAAATTATAATAAGGCTTTAAACCTTTTGCCACCTGCCCGTTACAAGTTACCCCGCATATAGGATAAAAAGGTCTAGATAACAAATTTTTGGAAGACATCAAAAAAGCACATTTCTACAATGATGAAGTAGAAGTCAGTTTACTGAACGTGGTCAGATAATTGTTCGTTTGATATGTCTTATTTGTTGTGATATAATTGTTATGGTTTTCACAATATAGTTTATATTTGCTCAAAGTCAAATTGGACCTTTGTGCTTAGCCCTGCTCTACATATATACTTTTTATTAAATTTACTTTAATTCATCAAATGTAACTTGAAACTTTTCAAAAAGCAGGTCAAAGAAGAAATACTTAATTCATTTTTTATCTCTCCTCGCAAAAAAATGAAAATTTTGTATAAGCTCAGTAGTATTATTTACAATTATACACAAAATCCAGAATCCAAAAAGAATCTGAAAAACTTGAAACGTAATTAATAAGCCGAAAGACCAAAAAAGACTCGGATTGGATTATACGATGTTTTCTATAGAAAGTGTATAAAACTTGCAGTTTGATTGTATTGACAAAATATAGACAAACTAATGGGGTTTATTGTTTTTATAATACCTAATTGTATACAGCATTCAAATAACACATCCTTATACACTGAAAGTATTAATATTTTTGATTCTCTAGAAATGGTTTAGAATATACCTTATTTAGCAAAACAACGTTTGCCGGGTCAGCTAGTATATATATATATATATATATATATATATATATATATATATATCTTATATATAAAATTCTTCTGTAACTATGTATGAATGATTATTTCTCCTAAACTATAATTCGGATTTTTATGAATCTTCCTGAAGTTTGTTCGGGAAATTTTCTATAATTTGTAGATTCATAGAAATATAGTTAGATTATAGAAATAATTGGAAAAAAATACAAAAAACCGCTTATCATTGTTTGCCCTTGAAAATATTTAGCGCATAGTTTGACATTAAAAACAAAAGCAGACTGTCATTTGCCAAACATTTCCATTCACTCATAGGCTAAGACAATATTAAAATATAATATATTTATGATTATGAATAAAGAAAATGTAATGACTGCATTATTATTGCCAAAAAGAAGCTGAGATGTGCCAAAAATTTAAATAATATAAGATTTACAGTCAACATCTGACAGGTGATGCAGTCTGCGCATGCGTCTGTCAGTGATCGCACATCAAATTTAGCCTACAATTCACTTTGACTGATTATTATTTTTTAACTTTTAAATGCAGTCGTGTTTTGCCTCACTTTACTAAATCACGATACAAAAATAATGTGTTTATTCAAACAATTATTTAGAAGTTTCATTGTGTCAAAAATTTATATGTTTGGCATTGGATAGGAAATATTTACTCATTAGTATCAAGTCGGCATCTCTTTCATATCGATAAAAGAACTAATTACAAGAGAAAAATGTTTAATAATGTTTTTCAAAAAAGAAATTACTTTTCAAGTTACTGGCTACTGAAAATTTGTTGTTTTTTGCGTTTTTTATCGTTTTTTGCAAATATTTCTGAAAATATACATTTAAACGAAAATCATGTAATGAACAAAATTATATCAATCAAAATCGTAATAAATCGGTGTTCTATAAATTGTTCTAGGAACAATATTAGGCTAGATATGAAAATGGGGTTTTATAGTACTCAAAATAAGCTTTAAAATGAGTACTTCTGCGTGTAAAATGAGTGAGCTATCACGCAGATAAAAGACGCATACAATATTTTTTTCGTTTAAAGCAAATAGTTTTTGAGTGCCATTTCCACCAAAAATTAAAAATAATCGTATTCCCTCTGGAATATACTTGGTTTAAAAGATCTTGACGGATTCTAGAAAATATCATAACTTTAGTGCAAACGATTTCCAAAAAGCTCATGATTTCATGAAAAAAAATCTATTTAAAAAAATAAAAGATAC